GGGTTTAGGGTTTGGGGTGTGGGGCGTTTAGGATTTAGGGTTCAGGGCTTAGGATTTTTCAGTTTAAGGGGTTGATCTAAATGAATTAAGGTTTAGGCCCTAAACCCTTAACCGCGAAAACTGCTAGTCTCTTCATGCCTTGAAGGCAAACTGACCAGATCCCTGTGGCCTCAGTTCAAACGTGCCAAGCTTCAGCACATGAGCTATAGTCTAAACTCCTGAGAGGGGTTATATAGGGGATTATATACGGGACTCTTATTAGGGTTGCTAGGGGGGATACTAGGTGTTTAGATTATAGCTCACATGGAAGTTGATCAAAACTCCGGTCCCTGCAATGGCCATTGGGGGAAATCATTTGCAGGAACCCTAAACCATTTCCCCAAACAATCTTTAGATCAAGCCATCGTATATCCCATGTAATACGTATCCCGATTAACTCCTAACACACCCTATCATAATATGGCAGTTTCCATTCTCTTTCCCAGTATTCTCTATATATCCTTATATATTTATATATACATTTTTCCGGGATTCTCCTTACATCCTTATATACCCTCAATAGCCCTAGTAATATCGAAGTATTCCTGCGGAAGACTGCGAACCAGAAGCATGAAACCCACCTCCTTCAAGGAAATCCGGCTGTTACCCCCAGGCATGAATCTTGCTGTGGTTTAAGAAGCCTCTTATTTGAAAGGCTCTCATGTCGGAAGGGTTGCTAAGGGTTCAGGGTTTAAGGTGGCCCCACTGGACTGAAAAGGAATTGCTGAACAAAACTAGATTCTGCAAAAACGTCGTGAAAAGCCTGCACCGTCTCCAACCCAAGACTATACAACTACAGAAGCTGAGTCTACGGCCTGCAATTATCTCCTTCTTTTACTGTAGTAAGACTTTGGAGAAAGCAGATGATTCCCGCAGCCCCAGTGGTAACCTCCCCCCACCACCGAATGAAAAATACACCCAATCTATGAATACAAATACAGGTTCCAGTTGATTTGCCACTCGATTGTCCCAGATTGAGAAACGTATCCTTCTCGTAACCCCTAAACTCTAAACCCTGAACAATACGGTAGTTTCCATGTTCTCCTCCATTCCCCTATAGAACCTACAGTACTACACCCTCTAAATTCATATACATGTATATTTTTGTTGGTTCAGTTACCTACATATCCCTATATAACCCGTATATGACCGTACATACTCCCTATACAACCCCTAGATAACCTCATATATTGAAACCCTAATCCCTTAACACTAAACCCTAATCCCTAAACCTTAACCCTCTATCCCGAACCCTTATCAACCCTAAACCCTCAACCCTTAACCCTAAACCCTAGGTTTAGGCCTTCTATCCCGAACCCTTATCCCTATGCGGGATGGGCATCATGCCCCTCTTCAGGCACTTGCCTCGCTTCGCTGGCTCGGCCCCGCGAAGGCAGCCTGGCTTTGGAGTTCTGCGTTCTCTCAGTTTAGGGTTTAGGGTTTAGGGCTTAGGGTTTAGGGTTTCGGGTTTAGGATGTGGGGTTCAGGGCTTGGAGTTTAAGGTTTAGGGTTTAGGGCTTCGAAATTCAGGTGTGGGAAGTAGGGAAATAGGGTTCAGCACTGCACAAATGATCAACATTACACTCATCATCCGGTGCAGTTAACGTATACTGTCGAATCCTCTTACGTCATGGTACAATGTCCTAGAATCCTGAAGATTATGGTACAGTGTAGTGTCGAATGGGGTTGAGGAGCTTGGGGTCCAGGGTGGGCAGTGTTGGACTGTTGGGTGAAAGAGTTTGGACGAATGCCGTTCGCCTCGAGGCTCTCATGGCGTTAGCCTGAGGATGTTTGAGCTGGGGACTTGCAGATCACCCTACTCATGAAAATGATTTCAGAAAGCGCCAAGTACAGGAATTTTGGCCCTGTGGCGTCTTGATGCCTTGGAAGCAGTCTAGCAAAGGCAATAGCAACGTCGAAGTGCCCCTCATCTGAACTATCAATGGTCATCCCAAACCCCCAGAATCTCAACGCAGGAGGCCGACAACTTCCAAATGCCTCTGCAAGCATGTAGATTTCTTCCATCCACCATATGTCCTGGCCTGGAGTGCCAGCAACGCGCACAGGGCTGCGGCAAGGATCAGCACCTGAATGACGACCGTGGGGGTTGAGGCATAAAGCAGCTTAGGGATTGGGATAGGGAAGTAAGATGGAACCCAATACGACGGGACCCAATGAGGAGCGTAGGGTTTGGCGGCATCGTTTTTTTTAGCTTAGCGTAGATCATGCTGGTGCCTCTTTGCAGTGCTTCAAGATTCTTCCCCTTGGTTCTAGTGGAAGTAGGCTTGAGGTTATAAGCGTTGCACAGACAGGCTTCGTTTTCTCAATTGCAGCTTCTCCAGTGGCTCGAAGGCCAACGTCTGGGGCGTTCGCATATTACCTTCTCACGTGTTGGCGCGTTCAGTACGTCTAGCTAAACTCACCATGTCATTGCCCATGTTAAGGCCCAGCATGTGCGAGATTGGGCGTGTTTTTCAGGTTCCCCAAGAAGGCAACGCTATGGTCTTAGATTCCCATATGATATAGGATACCTCCACAAGACCTCGAAACGGTTATTGTCAACCATATGGGCCCCTTTCGTACTGATGGTGCCAAGCAGCGCTGGAGGAACGTCGCGCCATGGTTGGACGGGGTAGCTTGGCGGCTTGGTGGGCGCAGGAGAGGACCGTTCACAAAATCGCTCGAGCCAGGGTATTCGCAGGAACTAAGCATGGCAACCTCAAGACAGTAAAGAAGACGTCACCCTTAAACTCTGCTAGCAAGTGGTAGTGACTCGTGATGTGGCCAGAGGCAACTTTTGCAAGTTTCAGGCCATCCGGAGCAAGCGGATGCCAAGGACGATGAATCGAACTCAATCGAAACAGCAACTGGCGCATCACATCATTCCTACACTAGCCCTGCAGACCTGAAAGCTCTAGACGTAATCTGAGCCAGTTCACCTTCAGCCTTTTGACTTGATCCTGCCACCGATGTTAAGGGGCACGAGGCAGATCGTAAGGGAATGAAGGAGGGCGACGAGACTTGCTTCATGCGCATCCACTTTGACAGTCTATTTATTTGCTTACTTCTGTGGAACCCCAAAAAGGCTCACTAGCTTTTGCGCATACTAAGGTTACCCAACTCCAAAAGGGAAAGCACGTCTGGTCTATTGGCTTCTGTTTTCCGTCGGAGAAACCTCCGATCAGAGATCCTATGCAAGCTGCTCACTTGGCGCCAGCCAGCGCCGCCTCCCGGATCGTATGAAGAGGCTATATCAAGATGAGGGTCCCACAGATGAGTACAAGACATGTCCACATTTTGAGGATCGCATATGGCTGCAAGTCCGGAATACAGGATGTCATCACTTCCGGCTTGCAAATCCCTAGGTTTGACCAAGAGTGCCATGTTAGCCTGTCCAGAAAAGACTTACAGGTGGTTCGTAGGCAATGACCCGCTAGAAGAGTCCTAGGTTCTTGTGAGTTATAGCTTCTTGCAGTCACCTTGGAACCCTGAACCCTAAACCCCGAGTCCCGATCCTAAACCCCCAAACGCTGAGCAATGGACCTCCTACACCACCCGGTTCCATTATGTTTCCACGTTCTGTTTCATCTGGCTTTCCAGTAGAAGAGTAGGGGCTACCAAAACAAAGTGTAAAACCCATAGACAAGCTCTGTATGGAGGACTGTCAAAACCCTCTTATCCTCTGCCGCCCGGCACTGAACCCTAAACCCTAGACCCTAACCCCTAAACCCTAAACCCAAACTTGCCAAAGTATGGCGCACCTTGGCTTGCTGAAGAGACTCCTTCTCCTGCTCGCGAGCCTCTGAAGATAACTTCTAGAGCAGACATATAGGGGTTATGCAAATAAACATACAAGTGTAATGGAAATTGCTACATATTTTGACAGGATATAGATGGTAGTTTCCATGAATAGGGGGAGGCCGATATTAACCAAAAAAACTCTGATCCTTATTATGGCTACCCCCAAAATGGAACCTGTAATTTTGGGAAACTCAAGGCTTGCGTAAGGATTCAAACAGAGGCATTGTACAGGATAGGCTTAGAGTCTGTGGGGACGTAGGTACTGCATGGCATCCTTATGCATTTTTTACGTGACTGTACGGGTCTATAGCATCCAGAAATATCACAAAAGAATTCTGACTGCTTTTGTCTTCTTGTATGATGTCCTGGACTTGTGGAATATCCGAAGCACTTCCTTTGGTATCAACCCCAGATCCACGACATACAAACTAGACCTCAGAGGGCCAGACTACTGTGTAGTACTTTATGACCTATTACATGAGGTTGTGATGTCAACCCAGATTGCAGCATCCTTCTGCTAACCTTCATCAACCCTATCACTTCATTCTTTGGTGAAGAAGCGAAAAACAACAACCCCAGCTAGAAATCCTAAACCCCAAACCCCATGCCGGGTTTCAGACAGTCTTACGAGTCTCGTAATTCTTCAGCAGCCAGCTGCACTCCTCCAAGCCACTTTGTGGGGTTGCCTTGATACTTCTTGGATTAGCAGTACTTGGAGGGTCATGGGGACTTAGTAAGTAGGTTAATAACCCCTCTAAGCCATAAAGTAACCCGAATTATCCCCATTATTACCCTACTTACTAAGTCCCCATGGCCCTCCAAGTACGCTTAGGGATCCCAGGTCTTATTCATTCCTGTTCAGGATTGTGTGAAATTTATTGTTCATGATGAACAGGGAAAGTAGCACTAGTACTGGCAATAATAACCAGAGTTTTTATAAGAATAAAAGGAAGAATGGGAAAATGTGATAATGGTTTGGGTCCAAGTCCCCTAGTTAGGTCTTGACCCCGGAAGCAGTCAGGGTGACTCTTCGCCTTCATATTACCCTAGTCCCTGAACCCTAATCCCTAAACCCCAAACCCCAATCCCTAAACCCTAAACTCCAATCCCTAAACCCTAGCAGTGAGTCTAAGGGCTGGAGCCATAGAGTTTGTGGCTGGAACTCGCTGCATCAAAAAACCAAAACACCTTGTTATGATCATATATGTCACTGTTATTACCAGTAGTACCATAATTTGCGTTTTTGTTTGCTGCTATTACCATCATTACAAGTATTACTCTCTACTAGTATTACTATTATTGTGACCAAAATCCTTATTTCTGTTACTATTATCACCACTATTACTACTATCTTTAGTACTGTTATTAAACCTCAAAGTTGAGACCCATCCTCGTCCAGATCCACGCCGTACTGCTTCACATCCTGCGGCTGTTACTCTCCGCCCCGGGGCATCACGCTGCAAGGGTTCCAAAACAAATTATAAAGAGTACATACGGAGGGTTTATGAAGATTATATAGGGGTTATGCATAAGAAAATAGATACTATTCAGGGCTTCGGGTTAAGGGACAGCCCCCAGTTAGAGGCCTTGAAGACTTGAAGCCCATTTGTGAAATGTGAAACGTGTATCTATGGCTTCTGATGCTTCATGGATCATGAGATGAAATACTGCTTCATTTCTTTCCAGGATTGTTGTTCCAGTTGCACTTACAAGGCTCGAGACCCTTCACAGAGCTGATTGCTGATTGCTGTCTGCTGAACCACCTAGCTTGAGGGCAATAGAGACTCCGAAACCATTTAAGCCATAAGCGTAGGAATCTGATGTATGACCCCATGCCGACAATCAGCTGCACCACCTGTTTAAAACTTGAGTTGAGATCTTCCATACACAGCCAGCAAGACTTGTGGGGACCCTTTTCCCCAAACCCTGAAACCCTAACTCATGAACACCGATAGGAGTCCCAACCCAGACCCCCTAAAGGATCCAAAACCTGGAACCCCCTAATAATCCCCTAGTTTCCCCAAGGTAGTCACGGATTCATATTGCGGGGGCTCAATTTTTTGGATCCTTTAGGGGGTCTTGGAAACAGCGGTCCACAGGCACTAGCCGAAACCTGTCCTTCAGTTCCTCCTTCTCCGCCTTCTTGGCTTCCTCGGGCTTCGGGATCCCAACTTACAAGCCTCTTTGCCGAGAGAACAGGAGACCCCCCTTTCGATGCTATTTTTTTCGCAACTGCAATACCCAGCTGGGCAAAGGGTTGAAGACCATGCAATCGCCCCTGATGATAATGTTCCAGAGCTCGAAGCCTCACATTCTGCCATGTACCCTCTGCTCCCCTCTGAAAGTCCTTTGCCAGTCTTCTTTGGCCCCCATGAATTTCAAAATCAATCTTGTGGGCCTTATTAAGGATAAACCCATACCTTGGAACAAAACCAAGCATCTACAGAACACAAAACCTGGGACTTATTAATTAGGTTATAATGGGGATGACTGGGGTGATTATAGGGCTCATAGGAATTATTAACCCAGGAATGAATACCTGCACTATTCCAAAATTGCACAGCTCAGGCTGCGGCCGACTTCTTCACGACCTCGCCCTCTGCGGTGGCCTAGTTGAAGGGGCTCCATGTCTTCTCAGGGTTAGATGGTTAGGGCTCTGGGAGCGGACCGGGTTGACAAGGAAGTTTCCTCCACCGTCACGGACTTTGGGGAACATGGGTTGAAGGATTAAAGTAAGGTTTGCCGATGAAGGCGAGTGGATCCTACTGTTGAGAATGGACATGGAAGTCTGACCACGACGCCTGTCAGCCGTCAAATCCTCCTCCGCTGTTTCGCCCAAAGGGTCAACGCTGGGGTTACAAGCTCCTTGAAAGCCATAACCAAGTCCTACAGTACACCCCAAGTCCCAGACTCTAAACGGCCCTCAACGACTACACCCTAAACCCCACATCCTAGACTCTGCAGTAAGCCCTAAGCCCCGATTATATAGATAACTCCAAAATGTACCCGATTATTAGAATATAGTAGTTTCCATCTTATTCTCCATCATGCCTGCATACTCCCTGTATAAGCCCCAATAACCCTAAACCCTAAAACCCTAAAACACCTAAAAGCCCTAAAACTCTAAAAAGCCCACACACTACCGGGCTGGCCTTGGCCCTCTGCTTGGAGGTGATCGCCTTGACATCGGCCTCACGCTTGGCGGCGGCCTGCTCCGTAAGTCGGGAAGGAAGATAGGGTTTGGGAGCTGTTTAGGCCTTAGGGTTTAAGGTCTAGGGGCTAGGGTTTAAGGTTTAAGGTTTAAGGGTTTGGGCATCCAGGGCTTAGGATTTAGGGATTAGGATTTAGGGACTAGGGGCTGGGCTTTGTTGCTTTAGGGTTTAGGATTTGGTGGCGTTTATTCAGGGTCTAGGGCTCGAGGCTAGGCTCAAGGTTTGGGGTTTGCAAGGGTACTTAAAGTAACGTTTTGGTTTATAAAGGCTAAATCTTGATGGTAGTAATAAACACCAATAGTATGAGTCCTTTCCTGGATCCAGTATGTTTAGCAACAATCGCCTCAATGACCAATGCTTCTGATCTAAACCCTAAGCCCTAAACCCCAAAACCCTAAACCCCTAAACCCTAAACCCTAAGCCCCAAAACCATAAACCCCAAAACCCTAAACCCCTAAACCCTAAACCCTAAACCATAAACCCTGAACCCTGAACCCTAAACCCGCTGTAGCAGGCCCCAAGAGCAATCGCGGTAATATCGGGAATCATCCCCATTCCCTGCCTGTCCAACCCGGCTCATGAAACTCTAGGGTTTAGGGTTTAGGGTTACGCGTTCACGAATCAAATTGTAATAGCGTAGTCCCACATTTTGGAGGCTGTCACATGACAGGGTCCCTGGTCAGTAAGCAAGAATATCCCACTTACAATAGAAAAATGTCTTGGTCTCAGAGTCTGAGACCCTCAGGCTTTCGAGACTCCGAATTCCCCAAGGCATCCAAGACTTCAGGATCACAGCCTTTTGCTGTTCAAATAATCCCCATGTAACCCCAATATAATTCCTATATAAGCCCAATATAACCCCTATATGACCCCAATATAGCAACTCATGAGTACAAAGCTTATGCCATGTAGGCCCAGGGAGGCGCAGACGCACTGGGCATCTCGCGTCAGAGAGCATGTCTTCGTAGAGCTTCTGGGACTCCTTCTCGTTGTACTGGGCCTGAACACGTTGCACTTGGGAGTTTTCCCTGAAGAGCCATCCCAGGGTCCCAGCTACATAGGGGTCCCATTTTTGGGGACTCTCGTAGTCGTAAAGATTCAAATATGTGGGGGTCTATAAGAGGCTCCATGATTTATGGAAACTACCACATGTCGGCGCTTGAGGATCAATCCTGCGCCTCTCAGCTTGCAAATGCTACGCGTCTTGCAGGATTTGATTTCATGGCTTTGCTACAGCAACTGCAGAGGTTCCTGATAAGCAGGAGGTTGCCACTCAGCCACATGACGCAAAAAAAAACTTTTTTATGGAAACAAGGTGCCTCGGCCACCGTCTTCTCAGTCTCGGTCACCAGGCCTTCTATCCAGAAGCTTGTTCAGATTGCCGAAGGCCGGCCACACCAACACATATGACCGACTGTCTAAACTCCTAGTATCCCCCTCAATAACCCCTATAGTAGGCCCCT